CTCGTTAAGTTATATTACAAAATATTTTGTTAAATTTAATTACATGCCAAACAAAGTTCCAAAATGATTATTATTGTCCTAATGTTACTGGTGAGTCAACCTTAATAGATGATAACTTCTGATACGGCTGCACTCTTTACTGGATTAGTCTTCGCTTTTACCTATGCGTGAAAGCAACACACGTTAAGTATTTACTTAGTGAGATATAATAGTGTAAAGAAACATTTATGTATACACGAGTATGTCATATTATTTGATTCACATCGAATTGTATATTCTTTAAGGATTCTCTAATCCTTTATAGTTAAACTATATTCCATTCGAAATTGTCATAATCATTGGGTGTTATTCCTTATTTTCATTAATAACGTCCATTCACGTTTATCATGCCCCATTATGCATTTTCAATAATAGCATACTTTTATGTTGATAATGCACCCATATGTATTTCAACTTTGACATCATTTCATGTCTATAATGCACTCATATGCGTTATTCTTTTATGCCGATAATGCACTCATATGCATTTCAGCTAAGGCATCATTTCATGCCAATAATGCACCCATATACATTATTCTTTTATGCCGAGAATGCACCCATATGCATTTCAGCTAAGGCATCCTTTCCTGCTAATAATGCACCCATATGCATTATTCTTTTATGCCGATAATGCATTCATATGCATTTCAGCTAAGGCATCATTTCATGCCAATAATGCATCCATATACATTATTCTTTTGATCATTCGTTCTAGAACAATTCATACTCTAAAACTCATTCATAAAATTATTTCCATACATTAAATAAAATTTAGTAACTACTATAAAACATACTTTAAAATTTAAACATTCTAATTGTATTTATTGCATATTGTCCTTAAATAGATTGCATACAATAAATGCACTCATCTGACTTGCCTTGCTTTGATATCCAAAATGCACAAACTGCTACTCTGAAACTTGTCATTTGCCTTTAACTTTACTTGACTCAGGAGCTTGATTTCAATCTATTCTATATCCATTAGATACATGTATAATATCAATTGTTAGTATATTTTCTAACAATTATACTTAAACATTACTCAAAAGTACCTATTAGTAACTTTTCCACAACAATCATAGCCTTTCATAAAATTTCTGGTTCCTCAGTATCGATACCACTACCATGGTATCGATACTACCATACTATGATATCGATACCGGTTTTGCATTCTGTTTCAAAATGGTATCGATACATTCCCTTCGGTATCGATACTCCCCCTTTGGTATCGATACTGATTGAATCAATATCGATACTATGCAACTGATCATCCTATTTTTAGTTTATAGTATCGGTACTGTTCTATTAGTACCGATATTCGTGCCCATATTTTCCAATTTTTAACCCGATTATTACACAAATGAGGTCAAATTTCGTTAGGATTACCTCACATAATGCTACCAAACTCTTCATTACTTATACACACTAACTTTCCCTCATTTAGATACTTAAAACATCTAGTATCCCTCAAGATCATTTGTTTCTAAGAATCACACCAAAATTTCTATCTTATTTTTAAACTCATCCAATGTTTCTAATCTCTCATTTAGCTCTTTAACAAGTCAAATCTACAAATAAACATTCATATATTAACATATCATTTCAAAACCCATTTATAAAATCTCCATTATTTCCTTATCTCCTCATTTTAATCCCATCTAATCATTTTTTATGCATATATTACTTAATGTTACCAAAACAACCCATAATTTAAAGAAAACACTAGCTAATAGGAATTTTATCTTATGCTAGAGAGGAGAGCACACCAACGTGAAGAAGAATAAGAAGTGTAGAATTGTTTTACTTTTCTCTTTCTTCCTATTTAAAATCCCTATCTATTTTTAAATTCATTTTCCTCTTAAAAGACCAAAGTGCCCTATTAACTTATCTATTGATATAAATTAGTCTAAACATTATTCTAAATCATTTTTCTCATCTTTTACCACTTATTCAATTTAATCTTAAATTTTCAAATTTTTTCGATATAGTTACTGGTCTGATATTTGGGATATTACACTGAATCTGATTTTATGCTGATATGTCTCAGATTCTTGGCTTATATATAAGCTTATCACGTGTCTGTATATATTAACTCAGATTGTTTGGGTTATATATAAGCTTATCATGTGTCTGTATATATTAACTCAGATTGTTGGGTTATTCCAGCCTTACCAAACATTGGTACAATTTACCCTTAAACAATTGTGGAATATCAATTTTTTAAGGGCAAATTGTTGGGCTCGTTGAATTTATATGTTTTTTTTAAAGGGTCAAATCCGTCACACATTTAATGGGGTTAATTGAGAAAAAATTAAAAATCAAAATTTAATAAATTTATTATGACAAAATTAATATAATATAAAGAACTTTAATGAACTCTGTATCCCTTAATATCACAAAAATCTATCGGAGTCTTTGGATCTCTTTAGATCATCATGTAACCATTTTTTATTGGGCTCGCAGTCTTTTTTCTTGTGTGGTTGGCTCTAATCACGGTGTTGTCATTGTTTATTAAATGTCTCAGAATAATAAAGAACCAAGCTATTAAGGATGATATTTTCGTAACCGACTTTTTTTTTAAATCGATTCGACATTTTAAAAATAAAAAATGATTTTTATGAAAAATTTAGAGTTTTCATCAATTATTTTTAGGTGCGATTGAAATACCAAAAATCGAATAATTTTAACAAAACATTTTTATTTTATTAAAAATACCAAATTTTAGTCTACAAAAATAAGAAATCGGGTTCATGAGTCAGTTACGCATGGTGAAAGATTAATACCCCACAACGTCAAAATTGATACCTAGTTGATTACCCTATATTTAAAAATTAAAAACTTTGAGTTCAAGATTTTATTTAATTTAAAAATCATTATGTATGCAAAGTTTGGAAAAAGATGATTACCCTATATTTAAAAATTAGAAACTTTGAGTTCAATATTTTATTTAATTTAAAAATCATTATGTATGAAAAGTTTGGAAAATTATGTGGTTTTACTAAGACCAATAACAACCACCCTCATGCATTTAATGCGAAAGTTTCATTACTGATCCTAGTAAACAAACATTACATTCTCTCTACAATTCCCTCGTTGGAGGGAAGGCCGTCCACCTCCGGCCACCGTGTTTCGGCACCAACAGCCGCCATCGCCCATGATGGCAAGATTTTACAAAAATACCCAGATTAAAGCCCGTATTTTTCTAAACCCAGATCTAAGCCCCTTTCGTCCTAAAAGCGAATCAATCGGGCTAGGTCTAAATTTGTTACCTTCAGTTTTTTGGCGGTCCGCCGACATTGAGGACTCCTCGGTAAGTTTCTCCTCCTTTTCTTTTTCTCTCGATTTTTCTCGTCTTGTTTGTACTGCTTGGTTGTGTTTTTTGTTTTGTGTGTGTTGCTTGCTGTTTTTGTCCTTTCTCTGCAGGATCAGTGGCCTTTTATAGGCCACCACGATGCTCGTCTTGGACGGGTAATAAGGGAAGCCTTGGTGAGTCACCGAAGCTACGATGGCGACTCACCGAAGGGCTGCAACGTGCGCGACCTTTCTTGAGTCTTCTGGAGGCTTCGGCGGAGGCGTGACAGCGGCTAAGAGGAGCACCTGGCTTTAAAGGCGGCGACGGTTTATCATCTGGCAGAGGCGGCAGCCAAACATAGCACTAGGGTTATGATACCCTAGGGTTTCTTCTAGAAGACATCTGGACCGTTTGATCAAGGCTATATCTAACGGCTAAGAGCTGTGGCGGCTGGAAGCTGAGATGAAAACCCTAGAAGAGTTCTGTTGGATCGGGTTTGGGCTAGGTTTGGACTGGGTTAGGCTAATCCGGGTTTGGTTTGTAAATGGGCTTTTGGGTCTGATGTTGGGCCTCCGGGTCTGGTTTGTAAATGGGCTTCTGGATCTTCTATTGGGCCTCTGAGTCTGGGCCTATAATATTTGTAATTAGTGTTATTTAATAATAATAATAATAATAATAATAATAATATAATAATATAATAATAATAATAATAATAATAAAATAAAATAAAACTGGACAAAAAATTAGTGTCTACAATATTTTTTTTTACGATTTATCATTTATGATATGTATTGTGCATATTATGGTATCATTGAACTCATTGACGTATTGTTGTTTGAGATGTATTTCGGATTAAGTATATATTACACTATTGTAGACGACACCGAATTAAAAACGCAAACATTATACTATAGTAAATTAATATGTCACAAATGTCGTTAACATGGTAAGTGGATTACCCTGCAACAAACTTAAAAGGCACAATAAAGAAAGTCAGGAAACCAAGATCAATGAAAGTAGTCTGACCCACAAAGTAACATATCACACAAGAAAAATATTCATTGAAAAACATAAAACGGATCTGTAGTCCTTTTGATCCCGTCTTTGGCAAGGCCATACGCCTCACTATTACTCCCTCTGCTAATCAGATTTATCTTTTACTCTTGGGACCGACTGTGCAATTAATTCTACCAAACTCTTTTTTTCTTAATAAATGTTTTTAACAGAGATTTTTTACATTAAATACAATTTTCTAAAAAAATCTTTAGTTATAAGAACCAAACCCAAAATTTTATATCATTTTCATTATCGGAAGTGAGTAAGAATTTGATAATGAAGCCCTTGATCAATGTACACAAGTGCAAATTAAGACACAATACATTAAAATAAAAGACAACAAAGTCCAACTCTTTTCTTAAAAGCATAAACTTGGCATAAAACAAGAGCTAAAGTGAATTTTAAGGAAAGTAAGTACTTGAAAAGCCCTCCCACCCCACACTTCTCAAAAGAGTAGTTTATCTACATTTTCATTAGACCCATAGGTTTCTTTTTCAACTTCCCCCAAAGGAAATGTTGAAGAAGAAAGGGAGGGCCCTTTGAAAAGACACTTAAACTTACATAAAACCATAAACCCTAATTCCCACATTATTTCTCCTCCACAAATTCCACTGAATTATATGGTTTTGGTGCGATGAATCAAACATGGGTTTGGCTCCTGAATGAGCCAAGTGCCTTGACAGCCCCTGCTCTCAAGATGAATTGGTGGTAGAATGCTGCAATGCCTGCTCCAACCATGGGTCCAACCCAGAAGATCCACTGAAAAACAAAATAGAATCAGTAACAGATCTAGAAATATTTTTTAAAGATAGGCACACAATACAAATTTTGTACACTGTGAGCACAAATCAAATTTCAGGATAAACATAATCAATAAAATATTGGGTGAATCCACCCCTTGGTAGAATATATGGTTGGTTTGCTAGTTATTATGAATATGGATATTTAACCGATCTGAATTTTGACCCGGTTTTTTTAGAAATAGAGATTGTGGAGAAGAATAATAACATGATCATCCCAAGCCTTGTTGTTGTTGAAGATAACAGCAGCTCCAATGCTCCTAGCAGGGTTGATGCCAGTGCCAGTGATTGGGATGGTAGCCAAGTGAACCATGAATACAGCAAATCCAATGGGAAGTGGAGCCAATACCTTCAAACATAATTAACAAAACTCAATCAAGTATTGTGGATTAACCTCAAGGACGAAGGCAGAAATTTTATAACTTTTGAAGGGCAAATTGCGCCATTTTAAGATTTGAGTAACTTTCTTAATAAATTATTAATTGATGGTGTAGTTGTAAATGGCTCACATTATTTTTTATTAATAAAATGACTTACATTAGATATATATAAGTATTTACATTAATAGTGCTTTTTAATAATAATTTTCTGAATCAATTGAAAAATTTACTACTACGAGGAAATGAGAGAAAAAGATACATTGTTAAATGGAGATGAATTCACAATAAAGACGTTTTTGTTTTCGATAAAATATATCATAGGTCATTGAACTATGCTCAAATACTTACTTTTGTCAGTAAACTTTTAAAAAATTATAAAATGGTCATTAAATTTTATCGAATAGTTACAAAAATAATTATTAAATTTTATCAAACTGTTATAAAATAATAATTAAATTTTCAAAGTTTTACACTTAATAACACCGGAGTGATCATTTTGTAATAATTTTAATTAAAAAGAGAGTTAAATAATTGGATAGTCGGATATCCGTTTAAGTGAGATTTTACGGTCTGAATTCGTTCTATACATCTTGAAAATTAACGAGCCGAATAGCTGACCCATTTTTTAAAAAGAAATAAAAGAGTTAACAATTTCTAATCAATTATAACAAATAGGGTATTTTTAAACACCCTACTCTTTGCTATATCTTGCCATTTTGCTTTTAATCTTTTATAATGGTAAATACAGTGATAATAGGCCAGCTATTCTCACAGTGCATGTTTCTTCATCTATCAATTGGTACAAAATCTCATTCACATCCTCATCATCTATGGATCTTAAATCAAATATTTTTTTTCAACAATATAGATAGAATTATGTATATTATTTTTATTAATTCTAAAAATATAAATATATGATATAATATATCAAAAGTTTCATTTACTTTAGAAATACATCAAACCTAGAGTCTAAGCTTTTGAATTTTTCTTATTCGAAATAATTCGAATTAACTCAAGTAATTACAGCTTAGAAGGAGGTAAAAGGAACTTACAGGGACATGGGAGTCTCGAGCATTCCTCTTGGGATCAGTAGCAGAGAAGACGGTGTAAACCAAAACAAATGTTCCAATAATTTCGGCACCCAAACCAGTTCCGGTGCTGTATCCATCAGCAATAGTGTTGGCTCCACCTCCATATCTAAAGTTATGGATTTCGAAATATTTTAAAAAATACGTATATATTAATATTATAATTTTTTATAAGATACATGTATTAATAAAATAATCAAGTAATATAAATAAATTTGAATTTCAAAACACACTTGCATCCATCCGTAATTGCATACCTGTTGTAGTACAATGATTGGAAAGCCTTAACCAAACCAACTCCGCAAATGGCTCCCAAAGACTGAGCCACCATGTACGAAATGGCTCGGACCAACGAGACCTTACGAGCCAGCAACAGACCAAATGTCACCGCCGGATTGATGTGACCACCTGTTGTTTGCACCCAAAGAAAACAAGACAAATAATCAATAGAGACATTTATAAAAACACATGGGAAACTCAAAAATCACGTACCGGAAATCCCAGCAGTGCAGTAAACGAGGACGAAGATCATGCCACCGAAGGCCCAAGCGATACCGAGAATACCGACACCTGCACACGAGTCGGTGGTGGTATCGGCTTGGCTCTTGTAACCGATCACGGTCAAGACGGTGATGTAAAGGAAGAGCATAGTTGCGATGAACTCGGCTATCAGTGCCCTGTAGAATGACCATTTCTTGAGCTCCGATGCATCGAACAACGGGGCCGGTGGAGGGTCGACATAGTCCTTGGCATGGAACGTGCTGTGCTCTCCTTCTTTGGCCATGGATTAGGTAGCAAGAAGCTGATGAAAATAAGCTATGGTTTTGTTTTTGTTTTTGTTTTTGTTTTTTTTTTTTATGAGAAATGAACAGAGGTTGAAGAAGGAGGAGGGGGTATATATGTCGATAAGGCACGAGGCCTTTACCTTTATTTTCTATTTTTCTATTTAATTTTTAAAATTATAATAATTAGTTTCTCATTTTTTTCAAATATCCAGTCAGCAAAATTATTCTCCCCCAAGCTTTAATTTATGATCATACGTACTTAATTAATATTTTAATTAATTAATCAAATGGTGGCAGATTAAATCGCCTGTTGAGAGAGAGAAAAATATATCAAATAATTATTCGTAATATAAAATTAATTTTTTTTACTTAAACATAATTAAAAACATATGATTTTATTTAAATCGTTTTTAAGAACTTATTTGTAAATAATTTAAGATCTATTTTCGAATATATATAAGAAATAAAATTTAATGTAAGCTGATTTTATCTATCACTATGAATGAGAAAAATAATAATTTATTATATACATAAAAAGTACAAATATTTAAAATTTATTGTATCCCAAATAAATAAATATAGAAGTATACCATTCCCTAGAATACTAGTCACATAGATATAATTGTACGTAGGAACATTCCGGAGGACCAAAGAGTTTTCATAGGGGGAGACTTCAATGGCCATATAGGTAGCGTAACCGACGGGTTTGACGGTGTTCATGGGGGTTTCGGTTATGGTAGCAAGAACGATGAGGGACATACGTTGCTTGAATTTGCTACTGCATACGATTTAGTGGTCACTAACTCCTTATTTAATAAGAGAGATGCGAACTTGATTACGTTTCATAGCGGGGGGCATTGTACCCAAATCGACTACATCCTGGCTCGAAATCGGGATCGATGGGCTTGCATTGACTGTAAGGTGTACCCTGAAGAGGCATGTGCATCACAACACAAATTGTTGGTTTTGGTGTTCCGCGTACCGCACGGGCGGAGCACTCATAGGAGAGCTAAATTGGGTAAACCTAGGATCCTTTGGAAGAAGTTACATGGAGCGACAGCTGATGACTTTAAGAGTAAGGTTTTGTCTAATACAGGTTTTGGAACTACAATCTCAAATAATGCAGATTTGTTATGGAAAAATATGGCAAATTCCATCAGAGAGATGGGCAAAAACACCCTGGGGTTGTCGGCGGGGAAGGCCAAGGAACATAAAGAATTGTGGTGGTGGAACGACGAAGTCCAAACTAAGGTGAAGACAAAGAAAACTTGCTTCAAGGAGTTTCTACAATGCAATGACGACGAAGAAAGGTCGAGAGCTAAACAAAGATACAAGGAGGCAAAGCGGGAAGCCAAGAAAATGGTGGCAAAAGCAAAGGATAAGGCATACGAGGAAATGTACAAGAGATTAGACACCAAGGAAGGACAAAACGACATCTTCAGGCTTGCAAAATCTAGGGAGAATAGGAAAAAGGATCTAGGTAGCATTAGGTTTATTAAGGACAACAATGGTGTTCTTCTAGTGAAAGATCATGATATTAAGAGGGTTTGGGGTAGTTACTTCTTTGGCTTATTTAATGAGGGTGCCTCTCCCTGTAGAGATAGTACCGTTGATGGGTCAGCCGACCATCATACTACGACCAATGACTGCCCTACAAGTAAGATTGGGTTTGAGGAAGTCAAAATGGCTCTTAGAAAGATGGGAAGGGACAAAGCTGTCGGTCCTGATCAAATTCCTATCACTGTGTGGTTGGCCCTAGGAGAAGAGGGAGTTAAGTGGTTGACCAACATCTTTAATATTATTTTAGAGACTTCCAAGATGCCAGAGGAGTGGAGAGAGTACACGGTGATACCAATCTATAAGAATAAAGGAGATCCCCAACGTTGTGGTAACTACAGAGGTATTAAACTACTCAGTCATACCATGAAGCTATGGGAAAGGGTGATAGAGGCTAGGTTGAGACAAGTTACTAGGGTTTCGGAAAACCAATTTGGATTTATGCCAGGCAGGTCTACCACGGAGGCGATTCATCTTCTTCGACGACTTATGGAGAAATATAGGGAAAAGTCTAGAGATCTTCACATGGCGTTCATTGACCTTGAGAAGGCTTATGATAGCGTTCCCCGAGATACGATTTGGAAGACTTTGAAAACGAGACGGATCCCAACTGCTTATATCCGGGCGATTCGTGATATGTATTGTAGATCTACTACACACGTCAGGACTACAGTTGGCGACACCGAGGCATTCCCGGTGGAAATCAGACTCCACCAGGGGTCGACTCTTAGTCCTTACATCTTCGCCTTGATTATGAACGACATCTATTGTGCGACACCAGACGGTGTATCATGGTGTATGCTTTTCGCTGACGACATTGTCCTAGTTGCTGAAACAAAATCTGAGTTGAATAATAGACTGACTACCTGGAAGACTGCTTTGGAAGAAAAAGGTCTAAGGATCAATATTGAAAAGACAGAGTATTTATGTTCAAACTTCAGTGGGGACCAAAACGATGAAGATGTAGAATATGCATAGAAGGACGTTCTCCCCTCAAGGATTGTTTCAAGTACCTAGGGTCTATGATACATAAAGATGGGGGTGTAGATGATGATGTAACACACCGTATAAAGGCGGGATGGCTAAAATGGAGGGCTGCTACTGGAGTTTTGTGTGACAAGAAGGTGCCTCTAAAACTTAAGGGAAAATTTTATAGAATGGCAATAAGACCAGTGTTGTTGTATGGATCAGAATGTTGGGCAACCAAGAAGGATCATGTAAGGAGGATAGAGGCTGCAGAAATGAGAATGCTTCGATGGACATGTGGTAGGACTCTGTGGGATATGACAACAAACTCTACTATTAGGATGTCCTTGGGGGTGGTGCCTGTTTCTGAAAAATTGAAGGAGAGAAGACTACGGTGGTTTGAGCATGTCCTTAGGCGACTACCGTCGGATGCGGTCAGGAGGGTAGAGTCGATTACAGTCGACGGTGCCAGAAGGAGAGAACGACCAAGGTGGAAGTGGGAAGACTGCTTGAGATCTGATTTGATGGATTTAGCCCTTACCGAGGACATGACCTCTGATAGGAAAGTATGGAGACTAAAGACTAGGGTAGTCTAGTAGTGTGGGTCACATCTCTAGGGTGTATCATCTCTGTCTTCTTTTAATGCCTTTGTAGTAATTTCCATGAATTCTACTTTTTATACGTTTCTGTTATTGGTATTTATGAAGGCTTAGAACTGGGCTTGCTATCGTGGACTTCTGTGTAATATTCTCTTCACTTTTAAATTTAGTCGGGTCTTACGTTTCTGTCTATATGCAGAGATTTTTTCGCAGGGATTTATTTGCAGGGATTACTTCCCATTTCAAACGCGCATATAATATTAATGATATTTATGACTACATATGAATACTGTTTAACTATATATTTATGTATTTATTTATACATGATTTGCATTTTATCTATATTTTTAATTTTCTGATTGCCGGAGGTCTTCCACGGAAGCTACTCTCAACCTGGCGTTGGGGGCAGCCTACTACCCTACCTCCCCTTTACCCCATTGTATATGGAAATTGGGTTTTGTTGTTGTTGTTGTTGTTATAGATATAATTGTACGAATTTCAAAAATTTTATTTTAATTAAACTGTAGTGTACCACAAGAAATCTGCTCATGTATTCTGTCGGCTTCTGTGGTGGATATAAAAACCCTCAAATCAATTCACCAAGCATGTCCACCACTTGCAGTCACTCCTTTTGTCTTTTACCCTTTTTGTTCCATTTGGTGGTCTTTCATCTTCTTAGCATTTTCTTGTTTGAAACAAACCCTAATTCACTTTAAACCTTAAAAGGCAATTAAAAAATGAATTAGGTTTCAACTTTTGCCTTTACTATAAATATAAAACACCCACTATGAGATAGAAAAGTATTAGTGGATTGTAAACATATATATAGTTTTTCAATCAAAAAAATAAATAATATAAATATAATTTTTTAAATTAAAGTTCAATTCATAATACTTTTCGGGTCGAATCTTATCCCAATTCGACGGGGTTTCATTCGACCTATAAGGTAAGATTTTTTTCTTCAAAAAAATCAGATCCAATTTGGATTGGATCACTTTTTTAGAAAGATAAGATAAAATTAAGTTGGTTGAGTTTCAATTGTTGTGTGTTTAATCAATCATGTGATATTGGGGTTTTGCCTGATTGACGATATTGATGGTGATCGTCGGTAATAAGAAAATTGAATTAGTGATTTTAGGGATTTTGAGTTTTTTTAATACTTTTTAAAAATGATTTTCTTCAAAATTAGTATTTTTAATTTTAAAAAATAAAAAATATAAATATGACATGTGTCAGATAATAATATCTTTAATGATCATTACGGTGTAGACACTTAAGAGAAACATTGAAAACATTAAACATGCATTTTAAACAAAAAAAATACTTTAAACATTTAAAATTATCAAAATATATAATTTCGGACACTTATTTGCATTAAATCTAAAAAGATAATATCCAATGTTTTATATTGTATACATACTCATTATATGATTTTTTTATAAATAGACTTGAAAGTCGAGTGTCAAAATTTGTTATTGGTACTAGAAGTTTTCTCTATTCTAAATTGAATTAATTTGATATTTTATTTCAGGTTTAATAGGATGATTCAATCTATTTTGATTTAATTTGTGTCTAAACTAATTTTAAACATGTGAAAGGAAATCATACCATTATTAAAAATGTTACAAAATTTATCCTCGAAATACTCCCAACAAATACAAAACATTAACGAAAGAGCATTGTCGTAATCGTCTTTCCGTTAGGCCTCGAATTGGGCTTCAACTTGAAATAATTGGGTTGGGAGTCGCCACCGACCACTTTAAAACGAATTTAGGTGGGTCGGACACCATCTTACATGATTTGCTCTTTTACCAGAAATGTGTCAGGTTCGAGAGTCGATTACGGTCAAGGAAGGATTAGCACCCTTGAACCACCCTTTCGGTACCAATTAATTTGCTGGTTGTCTTAAATTAAGAAAATTGTAATTTAAAATTAAAAGGTAAAAATACGATCACAATTACTTACCTTAGATAGTTTTAAATGTGTGGTCTTAAGAAGGTCAAAAAAACCATGTTAGATAAAAATGTAAGAAATAAATAAATAAATTAAATTAAATTAAAATGAAGAAAAAATAAATTAAATAAAAGATAAGATAAAGAAAGCAAAGATAAAATAGTAAGTAAAATAAATATAAAAAATAAATAATAAATAAAGAAAAAGAAGAAAAAAAAATATATAAATAAAATAAATAAATAAAATAATAAAAAAAGTAAAAATAATATATATATATATATAATAAATAAATAGTAAATATATATATATATATAAATTAATAAAATTATAATAAAAAATAATATATATATATATAATATCTAAAAAAATAAAAATATATACTAAAGTAAAAAAGAAAATGCATAAAATGTAAAAAAATATTACATGAAAAAAAAGAAAAGAAAAATAACAAAACAATTAAATAAAATGAGTAACAAGGGAAATGTGCGTATAAATAAAGTTAAATAAATAAAATAATAATAATTAAAACATAAATGTAAGAGACCGAATCAAAAGTAAAAAAGATGCTACCTTTTATTTCCTTTTCGAATCGTTTACAATAGATTTACCTTTGTATTTTCCGTGCTTTTCTCTGTATTTTGTATGTAAATCGTGTGTTACAAATGGGGAGGATTACATGTATTTATAGTGAAAAAAACTAACTATTTTTAGAATTCTATTAACAATAGAATCCTAATGCAACTAGACTCTTTACTCGGTTGTTGCACGTTTGTTGGTGTGATTGTTGCTTTAAAAGATATGGTGGTGGAAGAGTCATCCTAGGAGAGAAACTCTTGCTAGTTCTATCTTTTAAGAAAATGGTTGTCTACAGCTGCCCCTCTTTGTCCTTTTTCGTGGAACAAAAAATATGACAAAGATAAAAAGACATAAATTTTCGTTCAGTGGAGTTGAAGAATAACTCCTTGTCGAATTGAATTGCGGATGGCTCCTCCGTCGCGAAGTCGAGTCCATCTTGAAATGATTTGAATCAGAACGTGGCTTCTCGTTGTAGTCCACTTTGGTCTTCTTCTCGATTTAAAGACCTTGGCTAAAAATTCGACTGGAAAGTAATCTCTTGACTCCATAATGTGGTTGATATGCCCTCGAGATGAATGAAACCGAACTCGAAAAGTCTTCGCTGACAAGTAGCTTTTCTCGACTTAAGCCATTCTGACGGAAAAAAGGCTTCTTGCTACTAAGGCACGGCTAACCCAAACCTTCTTCTCGGCTTGAAAAACCTCGATTGGAGCCGGACAATAGTGTGGTTGAGGTGTCATCGAGCTGAATGGAATCGAACTCGACAATTTTATTGACAGATAGCCCTTCTTGCCTTGAGTTATGCTGTAAAAGATGTGCATTAGAACTGAGCATAGTCAAACTCGAAGGTCTTTTGATGACAGATAACCCTTCTAGCCTTGAGTTATGTTGTAAATGATGTGCCCTCGAAGCTGAGCGTAATCGAACTCGAGGGTTTGGTGTTTCAAGATAAACATTTTCAAAGGTTTTTTTTGTGTGTGTTTCAAGAGAAACAATTTCGAGGTTTTTTTTTCTTCAAGAGAAACTGTCTCAAGAGTGACAAAATTTGTTTCAAAAGAAACTGTCTCAAGAGAGACAAGACTTAGTTCTAAAGAAAACTGTCTCAAGGGAGACGAAATTTGTTTCAAGGAAAAGATATTTAAAGATTTTGTTTCAAGGGAATCTGTCTCAAGAGAGACAAAATTTGTTTCAAGGGAAACTGTCTTAAGAGAGACAAGATTTTGTTTCAAGGGAAACTGTCTCAAAACTCATTTTAAGGGGAACTGATTTAAATATTTTGTGTTTCAAGGAAAACATTTTCAAGGTTTATGTTTCAGAGAAACTATCTCAAAGGAGACAAAATGTTGTTTCAATGGAAACTATCTCAAGAGAGACAAAATTAATTTCAAAGGAAATGTTTTCAATGTTTATGTTTCAAGAGAAACTGTCTTAAGGGAGACAAAATTTTGTTTCAAGGGAAACTACCCTAAGCGAGATAAAATTTATTTCAAGGGAAATGTTTTCAATGTTTATGTTTCAAGGGAGACAAAATTTCGTTTCAAGGGAAACTATCTCAATCGAGATAAAATTCATTTCAAGGGAAATGTTTTCAATGTTTATGTTTTAAGAGAAACTGTCTCAAGGGAGACAAAATTTAGTTCCAAAAGAAAATGTCTCAAGGGAGACGAAATTAGTTTCAATGAAAACATATTCAAATATTTTATTTCAAGGGAAACTTGGAAACTGTCTCAAAAGAGACAATGGTGAGCACGATTCCCTTCATCGTGAAGTTGAAACTGTGGATGACCCATTCGTTGTGAAGTTGAGCCTTGGAATTGGATATCCTTCATTGTGAAGTTGAAATCCAAGTAAGTTGTATTGTCCCAAGTCCAATATCTTCCGCCGTGAAGTTAAAATTGGCCCTGGAACTAAGAAATTGTTTGTTGACAGCCAGCTGCCCCTTCGCTGTGAAGTTGAGCTTGTGCTGTCTCGAGTCTAATATCATTCGTTGTGAAGTTGAAATTGCCTCCGAAATTAGGAAATTGTTTGTTGACAACCATCCATCCCTTCGTTGTGAAGTTAAACTTGTGTTGTCTCGAGTCCAATATCATTCGCTGTGAAGTTGAAATTGGCTCTGAAATTAGGAAATTGTTTGTTGACAACCAGCCGTCCCTTCGTTGTGGAGTTGAACTTGTGTTGTCTCAGGTGGCACGATATCCTCCGTCGTGGAGTTGAAATCGCAGGTGGCCCTTTCATCGTGAAGTTGAGCCTTGACTTGGATATCATTCGTTATGAAGTTGAAATCCAAGTATTGTATGTTGCGGGTGGACACGATTCCCTTCACCGTGAAGTCGAAAACGTGGATGACGCTTTTATTGTGAAGTTTGGCTTCGAGATAGATATATTTCGTCGTGAAGTTGAAATCTACTCTCGAGCGAATTGTGTCGCTTTGAGTTCAATATCCTTCGTCGTGAAGTTGAAATTGACTCTGACTGAAACTGGAAAGTTGTTTTGTTGTCAGACAGTCACCCCTTCGCTGTGAGGTAGAGCAACCACCATGTGCTTTTGAATCGAGCATCCTTCATCTTGAAGTTGAAACTTGACTCTAAAAGCTGCAAAAACTTATGTATATAAAAAATGATAAATGCGATGCTCTTAAGTATGTCTAAGATGCATGTAACATGAATTAGTTCTGTTTTATCCCCTGGATGGAGTCTCGTGCTTTGTGTACTTGTTCCTGCATTGGAGGAAATGCCTTCAAAAGGTCTGATAATTTGCATCAGGATGTTGAATTCTCAAAGATGCCCCAATATTCGATGTTGAATCTGAAAAAATGCCCCAACATTTAATGTTAAATCTAAAAAAAATGCCTCAACATTTGATGTTGAATCTTCAAATATGCCTCATTGTTCCTGATTTCTTGCTTCAACATTGATTCTAAGCATGAGTTTTATGTTTGAGAGCCACATGTCATTTACCAAGATCCACTCTAGAGAGATTGTCTTGTTTTGAAAAAAATATGTTTTTCTTTCTTTTTTATTTTCAAAGTTCTGAAAATATCAAAAAAGAGTTTCGAAAAATGTTTAACCAAAAGTTTTGAAAATATTGTCCCTTTCACTGTTTTACAATTGAGACAAATCATAAAACTAGAGTTTATTGGATATCAAAGAATTAATTACATTATTAATCCTTCAATAAATTATAGACGTTTGACACGTGCCAAGATCAAATCTATTTTTGGGAAATGGTTAAGTAAGGAAAGGATAAAAATGTCTCAGGTTATTGTGTTTGGTCAAAGGTTTGGTATTTTTTTATTTGATGCTCAAAGGTTTAATGGGGTATCTTGCATGCTCCTTTATTGGAAGTGTTCTTCAATTCCCAGCTTTCATGGTCAAGCTCGGATTGTACGATGCCTTATCAAGGAATTTGTGTGATCGCCTAATTTTTGTATTCGAGCCACCTTTTCAGGTTTTCAACTCGAATCCTCCTTTGGTTTCAATACGTCATTCGTAATTTACGTCTTGAACCCCCATTTGTTATTTTTCTCTATCATGCATTAATTACACTATTTTTTTTGCAAATAAAGATTAATCCTGATGGGCATGATGAAATCTGAAGATAGTCTCTTCTGTTTAGAAATTCATGTATGATTAGAATGGACTTTTAAGGCACGTAACGTAGGCCATGGTTCATGGTTATGAAAGAAAGGGATAAAAGACTCAAACAAGTGTTTAAGGGTGATTGAACCAAGGATCAATTCATTCTGATGTCTTCGATCATATCTTGCTCAATTTGAATCTGCTCATATGTGTCTCTCTCTTGTTGTTCCATGATCTTCGAGTGGAGTGATTCTTTCAGAAATATTGTGCTTGATCGATCTCATTTGATGCTCTATGATCTTCAAGTAAAGTGGTTCAGTGATTCGAAAATGATTGTGCTTGATCAATCTCATAGTTTAATCTCGATGCATCATTTGAATCGAGAGAATCTTTGCATATGCATCTTGTCTTCTTTTTTTCAATTTTCCTTTATTTTTTTCTCTTTTTATTTTCTCTTTGTTTTTTTCTCTTTTTGCTTTGATTAAATCTTTTCACTTGGCATTTGGTTCACTTTTCAGTATCTCATCTGAATCAATGTCTTCACTCATGCGAGCAGAGTTTCTCCACCTTGCCCCCCAGTGTAAAGGGAGATCCTTGGTTAAGGTTGAATCAGAAGAAAAATACGATAGGCTCAAAAGGGGACACAAGGGATATATATTTTCTCCTGTTGTGAAGGGATGAAAAAAGAAAGTCGTTCATCATTTCATACATGGAAGTCCTCACAGAAGAGGTATCCCTAGGGGGATAGATTTTCAGGATTATTTTTATTCACATGAAAATAGTGCAATTAATGCATGGTAGAATTATTCCGAGTGAATTCTTCTTTCTGCTTCTTGCTCCCAACATGTCTCAATGTTCATGCTCCATGCGAGATGCCCCCAAGTTGTGTCTTAGTAGAATGCTCATGTTCAAATGAACAACTCAATGCCTTGGGTTTTAATGGCATAAAAATGTCAATTTTGAGTCTAAAAAGACAATGGTGTGACTTTATTTGACTCAAAGAAAGGTATGGGTGTATCAAAAGATAAAGGCAATGTTCAAAAGTTTCAAAGGGAGGTAATGTCAAAATTTGGTCTTTTTGGTAATAACCATGAGTTATTTTGGGTAAAGAATCAAGGTATTTTATTTTGGGGTTTTAAACAGGATAATAAAGGTATAATCTTGTCATATGTCAAAAATCTATAATTCTTGAAGAATTAAAAGAATCCTTAATTCATTTAATATTCGAAGAACTAAAGATTAAAATTTGTTCAATTGCTCCACCTTAGAAATTAGCATAAATTCAATTGTTTAAAAGATTAAGCAAACATGAAAGATCAAAGACGTGTTCAAACAAAACAATCCTCTAAGTGCAAATGATATATGCAATGTCCCCTTCTTCGACTGTCCATGCCCCTGAATCCATCAGGTTTTGGATCTCGAACTTCAGCGTCTTATAGTTCTCAGAGGAATGTATGGAGCATCCTATGTGGCAACTGCAAACAGCTTCAACATCGTAGTCCTTAGGATACGTGGACTCTTTTCTCAGATCATCCTGGCAGGCTTAGTCGTACAACCAGCTGATC